AGCTCGTATCTGAAACTTAATAGTAGGTGCTCTCAAGATCGGAAACCGAAAATAAATAGCCCATTTTTATACAAAAATAGTGAAAAAAGTCTCTGAAATGTAGAGCTAAATTTGGACAAAATAATACATATACATATAAGGAATCAAATAAAAACATGATCAAAGTGATCTTGTTTTCAAAATAGTTTACTTGAAAAGGAAATGATAAAATAACGAACTTCTTTAAATCCAGTGTTTTTTTATTTTTATTTTTCTTTCCCTTTAATTTGTCAAATACATTTTATCACTTACCTTACTATGAACAATACCGAAGCTAATAACAACGCCCCCAACAACGTACGTGGTCCTGGACGCGGTCGTGGAAATGGACGTGGAGGCAGACGTGGACGTGGCAGACGCGCTGGCACTTTTGTGTTTGTTGTCGATCCTACCGTTCAGCAAAACACCACTCCTGTTAACAACGGTAACACCGAAGCTGACAGTAACGCCAATGTCGATGATGACGATGAGCCTGAACAACCATCTTCACGGTCCTACAATGTATGGCCTGATGTTGCTATTTGTATCCTCCTTGAAATTATGGCTGGTACCTACAGCTACTTGTTGAGAAGAAGCGATACTGCCTTAAAGCAGCTTATCTGGGTACATTCGGCTGCTTTGCTTAAGGAAAAGTTAGCTGAGAATGCTAGCACCGATGTACTCAGGGCTTTTTTGGCAAACATCAGCGAAACAAGTATGCAAAGAAAGTGGGCAGATATGAAGCAGCGTTTTACCAGAGTAAGAAATGCAGCAAGAGAAACCGGAGTTGGTGGAACTGTTCCAAACATGCCTTATTACGAAGAAATTGCTAAGATTACTCAGGATGATCCAAGCATCCAGCCTGAAGTTATCTACGAAAGCATCAACATGGAAGAGAGTGGTATCCGGTCTTACAGACGATTCAACGACGACAATTTGATGAATGCTATTGGATCCGATGGCCCCGAAACAACTTACTTGGCACCTACAGAAGTTGATCAACTTGTAATTCAAAAAGCATTTGCTGATCGATATCCTGCTAGAGATTCTACCAACAATGAAGGACCTGCAGTGCCATCATTTAATGAATCAGCATCCGCACCTCCACCACCAACAACAGCACCAGCAACAGCACCCACACCAACATCAACACCAACAGCTGTACCAACCTCAACACCAACAGCTGTACCAACCTCAACACCAACAACCGAACCACCAACACCAACACCAACACCTACATCAGCATCCGCAGCACCACCAACATCAACAGGCGCAACACCTCCACCACCACCTTCATCCACACCTCCACCTCCATATACATCCGCACCACCTCCACCTCCACCTCCATATACATCCGCACAACCTCCACCTCCACCTTCATCTGCACCACCTCCACCTCCACCTTCATCTGCACCACCTCCACCAAGATCTACCCGTACATCGCGAAATAGTCGAACTTCTGGTGAGCAGTCTTCATCAACTCCTGATCCTATTGAAGCTGCTCGTCAGTTGTCAGACGAGCATATGGCACGTGCCCGCCAACTTGGTGTAGAGATGATGGATCGCATGGCAGCATCTCAAAGGGAAGATCGAGAACAAAGACTTCTCGATGTTGATAACATGTTGCAACGTATCAGTCGTAATCGACAAATTGCATTGGAAGATATGCAAGCAAGACGGCGACAAGAGACCAGAGAGAGATACCTTATGTTCGAAGAAGCAAGAAGTAGACGAGAGGCTGACATGGAAGAGCATAGACGTAGACGTATGTCTGATATGGAGATTATCCTGAATAGATTCGCAGCCATTCGAAGAGGTGATAGTGATACCAATCTTAATGGTTCATCTTCTACTGACAACAATAATTAATTAAATAAAATAAAATTTTTAATTCATTAAAACCTTTTGAAAACTATGAAAGTCTATCTGTTCCCCTCATGATATTGTTTCTTCTTAATATAGACATTGCCTTAAGACGGCGCATCCCGGCTGCGTCGATGGTAGCGCTGGTACCATCAAAAGGAAGAGGGGGTTCAAAATTCACCTCGTTTTCATACTGGTTTCGGCGATCTGCCTCCACAAAACCCTCGAAATCTAATCCTCCATCCAACACTGCCTCTTCAATGTCATTTTGATTTATACAAATGTTGTGTAAATCACAGCAAGATATGATAGTTTTGGCCATTCTATCAACACTAAGCATATACAAATGCTTCCAAAGGAATCTCCACCGGGATGTGAGTCCACCGAATGCATGTTCTATTTTTATGCGAGAACTAGAAAAGATTTCATTGAAAATCTTTTCTTCTGCAGTGCTTTCACGTCGGCCATGAAATGGAACAATGAGGTTTGGCAGCAAAGGGTAAGCCGAATCTAGGTCACATCATTAATAATTTGTACACTATGGTATGATTAATGAGTTTACCTCCCAAAATATAAGTGTTTGCGGGACACCATCTGGCCGCATCAAACAAAAGTTTATGATAGATCACACTGCTAGTAAACACTCGGGCATCATGGTTTCTGCCTTAATATAATAACAAACGGTAAGCTGCTATATCATTTTTATCCTTCCATACGAACTTACCGGAATGCCCAGTTTTTACGTACATAAACCGAGTACGGGCATCGCATATGGCCATTAAGTTCATAGATGCGTGGCTCTTTCTATCGACATAGGCATTTCCGTTAATTGCTGGCTTTTGAATGACGACCAGCTTGCCATCAATCGCACCTAGTACACCAGAAAGTCTCGTGGCATCAGGTCCACCAAGTTCGGAAAACTCACGAGCATTGTTTAAAGCTCTATCTCTGTCGTCGATAGGCCACGTTATAATTTCGGGAGTAATCTCCAACATGGCATCAATAAATCTGTTTGTGAAATTATTGAACGATCCGGCAGTTACTCCAAGATGTGTTTCAGCAATGCGATAACCAAAATGGGTGTTGGCAAATCTCCAAAGCACACACGCAACTTGGACTTCCACAGAGTATCCACCTCGCAAAATTGATCCAAGATAAGCAGAACATCTACTTAAACGATTGACGAGCCACTCAAAGGTACTCTTGTTAACGCGATAATGGGCTCTATAACTGTGGCGGCTGTTACGATCATCTGACAGGTTAGGGTGCTTGATTGTCCAGTAAGTTTCATACGTGTCCATACGCTCGGTTCTAACAACCCTTCTGTGGACTTCTCTGGTCATCATCCAAGGGCTGCTTATAAAAATATAATAAAAAATGTCATAGTTGACAAGAGTGGTTGCATGTAAAATTGTTTCCCTGATCCAAAGTTCAAACAAGGAAAAGACATCTTGGTTGCCTTGGGTGCGGGCAAAGTCTGCAACAACGCGCTCTTCGGCAATGGCTACCTCTTGTTCAAGCATTTGCTCTTCCAAATCGTACTCTTCGTCCATTGCACTAATTTCGTCCACCAAGGCATCGAAATATTGCTCTTCGTCTTCGAAATGTTCAGCGTCATCTTCCATCCAAAGTTGTTCTTGCATCATGTCGAAGAAAGTTTCGTCAATTGGGTTCATGTTAAATAGTTATTTTAAAAAAATTAAGATAAGCGAAAAGGAAATATTTTATTTTTTATTTTCTTTGGTTTAATAAAATCACGTTGGTCCTTTAGTAGATTCGAAAGTGAAAAGCTGTCACGTCATCACCTGATCATTGAATTTTATTTTATTGTCTAATTTAAGAAATGGGGTACACTCCCAAAAAAGGCTCGATCACCATTCCGAATTTTACCTTGAGAGCACCTAGTGGCAGCAGCATCCGTGAAATCAGCATCTGTGGCATCTGCAGTGGCATCTGCAGTGGTAGTAGCAGTGGTAGTAGCAGTGGCATCAGCAGTGGTAGTAGCAGTGGCAGTAGCAGTGGCAGTAGCAGTGGCATCAGCAGTGGTAGTAGCAGTGGCAGTAGCAGGAGCAGCAGGGAAAACGGGGGCCGCAGCCGGAACGACGACAGGAACCTTTTCTTCTTCTGAAACAGTAGTAGCATGCGACGGTTGCTACCATAGCCTACACCATTAGGTGTCACTTAAATAAATTGGAAATTAATAGGGTTGTTGTTGTTGTTTTGATTGTTCATTTTAAAAAAATCAAGGTAAGGAAACAGTAATAAAATTTTATTTTGTATCTTCGCATTTTAGTTGTCTATTTTAGGACCGTTTATTTCTAGAGGCTTCACATTCGATGCCCACAGATTTTTCATTTTTTGAGCAGTAGATTGATAATAAAAAAATATGGGAACATTGTTTTTGACAGACTTCAATTTAGGAAAAAAATATTCATAAAAAAACATTTTTTTTAAAAAAAAACGGAGCTTGTCCATATTAGTACATCTTTTATTTAAGATCTCAATTTATTTTGTTTCATGTCAGCAGCCTAAATCATACAAATCTGAGAATTCTGGTCCGTTATCCCTCAAAATCCGTTGATTTTAGGGTACTCCGGTCCGTTATCCCTGAAAATCCGTTGACTTTAGGGTACTCCGGTCCGTTATCCCTGAAAATCCGTTAACTTTAGGGTACTCCGGTCCGTTATCCCTACAGATCCGATACTTAAGGGTTCCCTGATTACATTAAACTAATGACCAAAATACATTATAAGAAATTAGAAACGGTTCCGAAATGGTTCAAGCATTCTAAACTTGTATGGGGATTATCTGAGCTAATTCCACATCTAAGGTAAGTCGCAAATCATATCAGAACATCCTTAAACGTGCGCTGAATTTCAAAAACGTATATACAGTACCCTCCAAAGTATCGTAACCGTTTAAGGTTTTCGTATTTTGTGTAATGACATCACATACTCATTCATAGGGAAACTTTCCAAACATTTTTAGTTTTCTGTTTTTTGTTATTATTAAGTTATGGATCCGGTTAACAGCGCTTCATAGGAAATATATAAGCTATTATCACTATTATAAGATGTTAAACCCTTTTTTTTCATAACCTTTACTGAAACATTTTTATTCTAAACATGTAACCCATTTTTGAGTCTACCACATTTTCGTTTAGTCCAATGCTGCTCTAATGGTGTCATTGCTTTGGAGTCTGTTTCTACTATTGGTGTATTGAACAGAGCTATAAAAAAAATTAATCAAGATAACCTGTTCAATTAGTAGGCCTGTGAGGAGTGGATCGGGGCAAGAGCAGAACAGAATAGTTATTAGGGTGAGGACAAAAGAAACAGACATTATATATCTATTAGTATTAATTCATATATAAAAAGGAATGAAGGTAGAAAAAGGTTTATTCAGAGGAGCAGGAACAATAGATAAGATCTTGAATACAGAAATAAGAATAAATAAACATGCTGTTATTTATCTTTATTGACAGATTGGGTAAACAAAAGTTGGGGGATCAGATTAACAAAGACTGACTATTAGTCATAGGCCGTTCCCAAGCAAAACTTTTTTTACGTTTTGGGAACAAAAGTATTTAGCTCAAAATAGTAATTTAAACTATAAAAAAACATTTTACCAGCCAAAATTTATGGGGGGTTGGGCAATTTACAAATTAGTAATTTATACCCTCGTAGGTGGGGGCTATAAATTACAAAAAGTAAAAACATGTGAGACATGACTTAAAATAATATTTCTAATTACTAAACTAGCATGTCTTATTTACTGGTTGTATATGGGCCACATTGCTATCCTCAGTATACTAAAATTATAAGCTAGTACTTATACTGGGGGGACCAAACCTTTTTACAAATCGAGCGATTTTTTTTTGAAAATAATGTTTGCTTGGGTACGGCCATATTTAGTTTGGGACATCTTTGGGGTAGCGGGAATGAACACATATAATTTCGCAGATAGATACAGAGGATAACATGAGCTGATATTATTAATGTTTATAAAGGAGTTCAAAGGCAGAGTTACCAAGCGAAACGCATGTTAAATGGTTTTACAAGCACAAGGGACAACGGGGATACATTATTTGGAACACAGGCGTTAGACAGGATACAATAGTGATGTTTGACAGTGACATGTGTGACAGGAGGCAGAGAACAGGGAACAGGTGGAACAGGTCGAACAGGACCAATGGGCTGGTCGGGTTTCAATAATGGTCTCAGACATTTTGCATGATTATCTGCAACTGAAACATAGACGGTTGATGACAGTCCTCTAACTATCAACCGGCGGGCTGACCGATCGTATTTCAGTTTTCGATCGGCAGGTTGACCGTTCGTAAATTATTTTTTGACCGGTCGGTTGACTGGTCGATGTTTAATTGCTAAAACGTGCCTATAGTGTTCGTTATTTCAAAATATATGGAGCTTTTACAAAAACTGCAATAGCAGAAGGTCAATTATTGTGTCCAAGGCCTATTTGTATATTGAGCTGAAAATTTTATGGCTAGAAAAATAAACCCATTTTCAATTATTTTTTACGCAATCTTTGCCATAAACTTAATATAATCATACTCCTGATTATTATTCCGCCTAATCACGTGTGCAAGGAATGTCCAAAAAGACAGAAGTTTACTATTTTGGTTGCCATGGAATCTCCTGTAAAGTCTTACCCAACATAATAATTGCCTGTGTTGAAGTTACGCAACTCCTTGTAAAGTATATCACTACAGGTGTCTAGTCATAATGTTGTATTTTGTACGCATTATAATTAACCTGACTAAGTATTTCGATACCATGTCTTATATACCAAATAATGCGATACGAATCATTTCTCATGGAAAGCAATTAATATAACCTGTCCCTAAGCTTGAACCTGATAAACGTTTTGCTCTTTTTTAATTAAAATTTTATACCCCTAAAAACGTTTTGCTACAGATTTCTGACAGACGAACGATTGTAACATTTCTTTGAAACATAAGCAATTAGTTTAAATATTTAGTTATAAAATGTTTTGCTGATAGTTATCAAACGTTATTAGTGCTAAAATATTAAAGCGGGGGAGCATAGGGAAAGCCCGTCGTTTGAAAGAAACAAAAAGAGCAGACAGTAATTTTTTAACACCCGACTTCGATCCAATCTAAGGCTATAAGATGACAACGAAATGCTTTTAATTTAGACATCTCACCCGTCTTTTGAAACGTAAAACGATGAATGCTTATCGGTTTTTTTCTTACCATTTTGTGCGTATACAATGATCGTGGAATAGACATAAAACAGCTATTTCTGATAGTAAAGTAGCGATAGTATTTAATATAGCTCTCGGCTACTATTAAAAGAAGAACGCGAAAAAGAAAAACAGAATAATTCGATTTTTGCACCTACATACAAAAAGTCGCTTTCCGACAGGTACGCGATTGAATCCAAAATGCATATTGAAAGGTGGTGATGGACGTCAAATTCCTTTATCTTTCACCCTTTTTATTGTTCGACATCAAACACAAAAAAAGCATATATAACTAAATTAAATAACGTGCATGTTAGTATCAAAAGCGAATGTAAGTACAAGGTAAACCAATCATCTTGTAACAGATAACCAATTATTTTTGTTAGATCCAGAAAACCATGCCATCTTATTAGTCAAGGTTTGAGATTGTCAAACATTCAATTACCAACCGAAGAAGGTGAGCTCTTTGTTTATTTTAAAAATGTATATATATTAAGATGTACATAATCAGAACAATCTACGGCCTTGCCAATTGGGAGGCGACCGATGGCAGTGCCAATAAAAAGAATGACCGGAGAAAACCAAGACGGTAGCTCTTCCGGTAAGAAAAAGAAATCGTACGCCACCAACCCGTACGTCGATGACGAGGCCTCGTTTTAAAATGACACTCAAAAATCCGATGAAACCAATGTGGTCACACCAGTACAGGTGCCTACCACCTCTGCAAAGGAGGCTGATGCAATTGTAACGCCCACAGTGGCGATTAGACAAACATGTCTATCTTAAATTAGGAACTTCGACTTAAGGCGATTAGAGTATTAAAAATGCCTACTCTGACCTAAACTACCCAGCACAAAGATATAGACAAGTTTTTAAAAGACATCTTCTTTTATTTTAATGCCGGTCAGACATACTATGTGTTGCGAAAGTGTATCCAATACGTTGGATGCTATCACTTCTTCTGTTTCTTGGAAGAGTCACAATTACAAGGCAAAGGATTACACAAGAAACACATGCAAACAATTAAAGGTAAAACATACATGGCCTACTGCATACTTTAAAAATTTAACCTTCTTTCAATAGACGGTCAACATAGTAAGTACCAGACCAGACTATTAAAAGCTGCTGGTAAAAGACTCCATGTCTTGTTCAAGCAGTTTAAGTACGGGACTCTTGCTATTGTAATTCCTTACTCCTTTGCAGCCTTTGAACGATGGAGCAGGGAAAAATTCAAGAAGTTCATTAGCGTTATCAAGCAAGATAAGGCCTTATCCAAGGAACTACAAGATCTGCAGCTTCGCTCCACTTTCTTGGACAAAACTGGAGAATTACACTACATATATTATAAAGACAGCGACTACATTTATTGCAATGATATTCAAAATAATAAAGAAGTTCATTTTTGCTACTTGGCTTTCATTCAAGGTCGTAGTGTTTCATTGACCCTAATTGTGACAAAATGAAATATTTATACGAAAGACCAGTATTTTAATTTAAATTTTCTTCCTGTCTTATCAATAGAGTGCATCCGGAGTTCAATAGTAAAATTTTTTTTTTAAGCAGGGAGGTACTTTCGAATCAATCCAACCTTTTTTTTTCATTATTAAATTTTTTTTTGCTCACTATTATACGTTTTAAATGATAGTTAAAACAGTTCTACACAATTTTTTTGTGAGAAAAGCAAGCCGAATCTCCATTTTTACAAAGTGATTTTAGGTGGGGGGGGCTTCAACTTGTCACATACAGCCAAAATTTGAACAAATTTTTTTATTTTAGCCAATAGGATTGCTCCGGATATTTAATTCACCGTTTCTGACATTTAAACTAAAGCATCTGCCGCCAAAAATCTAATTACCGCCAGCAGGCATACTTAAGCTGGCCATGTACTTAGATGATAAAGTTCACAAACAAATCTAGACATGTAATTAATATTCTCTTTGCCCAAAATTAATAAAAAAATGCCGTTATTCATTTCAGGTTTTTTAAGAAAGGACAAATTGTTTAAAGGCAGCGAGCTCTTATCGGATGTTCTTATTGACGGACAAAGGCTTTAGAATGTTCACTAGCATTTTTGTACTGATTATAATTCTTTGAAATTTAAGAATCTCGTTGCTTATTATGTTTTTATGCTGTAATATTAAGCGCGTTATACTAAAGTAAACAGAAGGCAAATGACCTTTCTTGCAAACATTTATGACACTGATCATCAAATCTAAAACAATTGAATCACAGCGTTACATAATCTGATTAAATTTTTATGCTGAAGAAACTCTTCAAAATGTTCCCCGTGATTTTGATACTAAGTAGAATCTTTTTAAAATTGATATATATTATAAATAATACCTTTAATCTGTTCTTGTCACCGCCAACAAAAAAAAAGTACATAAAGGGTGAGAAATATGTCTTTAAAATTTCCATTACTCAAAAGACCAATTGTAACACAGCCCACTCCAATCCGATGGCTGATATAAATAAAAAAAGCATTGAAATGTTCCCCGTGATTTTGATACTAAGTAAAATCTTTTTAAAATTGATATACATTATAAATAATACTTTTAATCTGTTCTTGTCACCGCCAACAAAAAAAAAGTACATAAAGGGTGAGAAATATGTCTTTAAAATTTCCATTACTCAAAAGACCAATTGTAACACAGCCCACTCCAATCCGATGGCTGATATAAATAAAAAAAAACATTGAAATGTTCCCCGTGATTTTGATACTAAGTAGAATCTTTTTAAAATTGATATATATATTATAAATAATACTTTTAATCTGTTCTTGTCACCGCCAACAAAAAAAAAGTACATAAAGGGTGAGAAATATGTCTTTCAAATTATCATAGCTCAAGACCAATTGTAACACAGCCCGCTCCAATCCGATGGCTGATATAAATAATTTTTTTTTTAAAATGCTCCTCGTCATTTTGATACTAAGTAGAATCCTTATTAATTGAAGATGTAGCTTATAATATATGTTTTAAATTTGTATTAGTTAACGCCAATTGCAAGAAATATCCAAACAAGGTGCAAACTCCCTTTTAAGTGTCAATAACTGTCCCCCCCCAAATCTTTTATATTTTAAACGCAGCAAGATTTAGCTGGTATATGGGGAAAATCTTTGAAGTACTTGCCATCATTTTTGTATTAAGTATATTCTCTTTTAATTAAAAGAGCTTATTTGTAAATATATGAATATGTTATAATAGTCTGCGCCAATTGATAAATTGACTGAAAGATTAGTAATATTATATTAAAGTTCCATACGAAACTCTATAGGAGTTTGAATCATATAATTTTTAAGGTTTAGGATTGAGTGTTTAATTTTTGACGTTTTGCAAAGTTTTTATCATCTATCAAAACAAACAATAACATATCCAATGGCTAAATCAAGAAAAAGAATGAACCAAGGAAAAAAAGTTAGAGCTGCAACGTTAGAGAAAGCTGCAATGCTTGCTGCTGAGGCTGAGGCTGCTGAGGCTGCTGTGAGAGAGTTCAGCGATGTTGAAATTCACCATTCCGAAGATGTTCAAGGTGATGTCGAAGTTATGCCCATCTCGTGGAAAAACGCTAGTGAGACCACTGGTGCGCAGAGATACACGCGTAAAATTGAATACGCACGCGAAACTATCAGTCGAAAGAAGTCTGCTTGGAAGAAAGCCGCTGTGGGCACACGTTCCTTGACCGATTTTTTCAAGTTGACCAAAAAACTTGCACCCATTATGAAGAAGAAAAAGGGGCCATACAAGTCCAGATTCCCTGATGAAGCAACATTGGAAAAAATCCATACAATGTTGCCACTCATTGATCCAAAATTGGTTCTTTGTAATGCATCTACTGGTGAACAACATATGGAAGGTGTCACTCAGTATCTGAAATACAAGATTGTGAAGGAAATGATGGTGCTTCTTTTGGCGGGTGAAGCGTATTCTGATGCAGCAGATCGTGCGGTCAAGCAACTCCTGGCACGATCCATCAAAATTTTACCGTTTTCGCGTAGCCCGTATTTGGTTGGGGCTTTACTTGGAGACCGGAAGTATCCCTCTCCACCAACAAGGAAAGCATGCGAAGAGGAGATCAATCCTGAGTGATCCTTTTGTGAAAGAGAAATGCGTGGAGTGGATTCGTGGCCAGAAAGCCACATTTAGAAGTATCCCGGCTCTTCGACTTTATTTAAGACAGCACGTCTTACCGGAGGTCTTGGCCATGACGACGGAAGTACAGGTTGATGCAGATGTGATTGTAAATGATGAAGTACATCCTCTGTCAAATGATGCTTTGTCAACTTACCTGAAGTCATGGGGGTTCGAATACAAGACAGGTAAATACAAGTTGCAATTAATTAATAGTTACTAATGGTTAAACTTTAATGTTTTTTTGTGGTATGTGCATAGGAAAAGATCAATGTTACTTTGATGGACATGAACGGCCGGACGTCATTTCTTATCGTATTAAGTGGGCCCAACAAATGATGGAATGGCACAAACGTATGGAAACCTATACACTCGACGATGAGAATTCAGAACCAGTTCAACCTAACCTGAAGGAAAATGAAAAGAAGATGGTTTTAGTTACTCACGACGAATCAATATTTTATTCAAATGATTGTAAAGTCACTCGTTGGTGTGAGAAGAACGAATCCATGATCATTCCTAAGGGCCAAGGAAGATCTGTTATGGTTAGCTCGTTTATGTGTCCTTGCCATGGAACAATGAGAGGTACCGTCAATGGTATTGAAATAACTTCAAGAGTTATCTTTCTTCCTGGTAACAGTAACGGTGATGGTTATTGGACGAACATTGATTTAACTAATCAATTAAAAGATGTAATTCCTCTTTTTAATGAATTACATCCTGATTGTATTGGTATCTTTGCCTTTGACCAGAGCTCTAACCACAAAGCCATGGCTGATGATGCTCTTGTTGCCTCAAGGATGAGTTCCGGTGTCACCGAGTATAAAGATACAAATAAGTATAGGTTTCGGGATACCACTTTTACTGATAAGGAAGGTCGAGTGAAGGCCCAGCCCATGTACCGGACCGAGACGGTGAATATGGAAGCCGTGAAGAAGATTGTTGCTACCAGAAGGGCAAAGCAGCAGTCAGTGTCCTTTGAAGACCTCATGAATCAATACAGGCTTCCAAGAGTAAATATTTGAACTTAATACATGACATGAAAATCTAAATTTCAATGATTACATTATATTTTGTAGGCACGTGAGGTCTTCAGAGGCACGCTCATTTTGTTGAGGGAGCGCGGCTTGTTGGACAAGAATGCTTCGCTGCGCAAGGTATGCCCTTCTGGTACAGTGCATGATCCTGCTGTTCGACCTGGCTGCTGTGCTGAGTACTCGCTTTCTCAGCAACCTGATTTTTTGGCACAGAAGAATATGTTGGAGACTGTGACGTTCGAGGCTGGTCACCTCTTTACATTATACCCAAAGTATCACTGTGAGACTAACTGGATTGAAAGACATTGGGGTGCAGCCAAAAGATATTCACGAATGATGTGTGATTACTCCTTTTATACTCTGACGTCTAGAATCCATGAGTTTCTGGACAATGATGAGGTTGTGCACGGTCCTAAAATCAATAGACGGTATTATAACCGTGCCTATAGATATATCGACGCGTATAGCAAGGGTAAAGATGTCATGGAGGCTGATGAGATTATCAGAAAGTTTTCCAAAGAATATCGATCACACAGACGTGCTGTTTAGTTGCTCCTTAATGGCTTTCATTCCATTAAAAAAAAAACCAAAAAAAAAAATCCTTAGACTCCCCCACCAAAAAAAAAATTAGACTCCCCCCCCCCAAAAAATAAATAAATATCCTGAAATTTTTTTTTTTAAAAAAAAAAAAAACCTTCCCCCACATTAAGATCTGGCTATGAATCTATTTCCTTTTATATTGTTTGTACGAGTCGGAGGTGAATCCTTCAAAATGTCACAAAATTGATTTTGCTATTGAACTCCGGATGCACTCTAACAAGAGTCGCCGCTCTTTACAAGGTAACCCACAAGCAAAACGTAGTAATGTAGTGTGAGAGACTAACGCGGTGAATCGTTCTATTAGAGTGCCAAGACCTATAAGAAGGAATCAGTACGACATTCTTCTTCCATGTATAGAGTCATCAGTTTGGGTAGATAAATTGAAGTCAGCAAAGACAGAGTCAAGTGATAGACAAGGAACACGAACCCCGAGCTTCTTCAAAAATGAGTCAAGCTAAAGAAGAAAAAAAAAGAGAGAATGTATCATGGTGGCATGTTCATGGTAAGTGCATTGATTGATGGCCAAATAAAGTAGATTCTTTATGAAGGGGGTTTCACCTTAAACAGTAATGATAGATTCATTTTGTTTACACAGAAGGATGATGAACAAGTAAAGAATAATATTGAACAATGAAAGAAAGATTCAATGGGGTATAGTAAAGGGAACAACGCTAGCAGTAAAAGGATGTATTAAAT